ATCATGGAACACTTCATCTAAAACTAATGATGTAATGTATGGGGATTAACATAAGAATAAAAAAAAAAAAAGACAAGAAGTATTACCAGGCATAAATAAGGTTATTTCATAATGATAAGAGGCCAATTCATTAAGAAGATATACCAATGCTAAATGTGTTTGCATCTAATAAAAGAGCCTTGAAATACATGTAGCACAAATTATAAAACTAAAGGGAAATATAGGCAAAAACCACAATTACAGTTAGAGATCTTAACACACCTGAGTAATTGATAAATCAAGTATGTACACATACACACACACACATACACACACACATATCAGTAAGGAGATAAAAGATTTGAACAATATTTAAGTCAATCAATTTAACTTACATGACATTTACAGTACAACTATACCTTACAAGTACAGAATCCACACTCTTTTAAACTAATGGAACATAGAACATTCACCAAGATGAACCTACGCTGTACCATAAGACAAATCTCAAAAGTTACAAATAATTGAAATCATTCAGAGTATGTTCTCTGACAATAAGAGCAATAAAAGAGAAAACAGCAACAAAAGGACATCTAGAAAAATCTTAAATATTAAATAATCCATTTCTTTTTTTTAAGATTTTATTTATTTATTTGACAGAGAGAGAGCACACGCAGAGGGAATGGTAGGCAGAGGGAGATGGAGAAGCAGGCTCCCTGCCGAGCAAGGAGTCTGGAGCCCAACGTGGGACCCCATCCCAGGACTTTGAGATCATGACCTGAGCCGAAGACAGATGCTTAACCAACTGAGACATACAGGTGCCCTAAATAATCCATTTCTAAGTAAAATATGGCTCACAGAAAAAATAATAGAGAAAACTGGGGAAAATTTTCTAAAGAAAAAAGAACTGAGAATAGAATGGAGGAACTGGGGAATGTGGGGTTTTGGTGAAAAATCTAGAATAGGGCAAACTGTTGGTGCTTACCAATATGTATATGTTTCTCTACACTTCCCAGGCTTGCTTGCAGCTAAAGCGGGAGCCTTTGGAATGTGGGCAAAGTGATATATGTCACTTTTAGGGATGACCTCTGAAAGCTTTTGTATGATTTTCCATGCTTTCTTTTTTGTCAGATAAGCTGTTGGATCCAAGTCTTAGGAGACAGTAGAACCACTAAAACTGTAAAAAAGAACCCCAAATCCAAAAAACAAACAACCTGCATCCTCAAATCTAATGTTTCATCTGACTACTAACAACCTCAATGGATTTCCTGTGAGAAATAAAAGTTTATTGTATTAAACCACTGAAATGTTGGCGTTGTCTGTGACAGCAGTAAATTCATTATGGTGGTTTTTAAAAAATGGTCAAATTCTTTGATAATCTTTCGAGAAGTGTCATCTATCTATGTCCCCCCTTCTATAATCTGAACAGGCTTTAAAATATACTTATAACCAAAAGAATGTGTGAGAAGTGATACTGTGTTACTCCTTGAGACTAGGTCAGAAAATAACATGTAGTTTCTACCTTATTCATTGCAACACTTGGCTTTGGAGCACTGGGCCTAACCTAAGAAGTCTAATTATCCTGCTGCCATCCTGTGAGGAAGTTCAGGCCACATGAAGAGGCTACACATATGATCTCTGTTAGCATTCGTAGACTTCCAAGCTGAATTATCAGAGAAAAGCAGCCCCTCTGTGCCCTCCTGAACACACAATTCACGAACACAATAAAAAGGTTGTTGTAAGCCATATTTTGGAGTAAGTTCATACATAGCAATAGTAAGCCAATACTCACCTCACTTCAAGTAATAAGTGGCATCACTTGCTTTTGTAATTTGTGCACCTGAACTAAAGCTGTTAAAAAAAGAAAAGGGTGTAAATTATTTATTCTTGGCTTGGAGACTTTGCTATGGCTACTTTTCTTACCCGGAAAGCTCATCTTTCTTCCTAAAGCAGTGGCTTTCTAACTTTTTAAGGAGAAACACACAATAAGAAATACATCTTATAAACATGACACAAGGATGTGCGCGTGCATGCATGCAAACACACACACACACACACACAGATCTTCCTTGACTTATGATGGGGTTATGTTTCCATATACCCATCCTAAATTGAAAATGTATATAATACACTTAACCTACTGAATTAGGTTAGCCTAATCTGCTTTAAATGTGCTCAGAATACTTATGTTAGCCTACCACTGGGCAAAATCATCTAACACAAAGCCTATTTCATAATCAAATGTTAAATATCTCATGTAATTGAATACTGTACTAAAAGTGGCAAACAGAATGATTGTATGGGTAGAGAATAGTTCTAAGTGTATTGGTTGTTTACTCTTTTTTTATTTTTTAGATTTTATTTATTTATTTGACAGATAAAGAGACATAGCGAGAGAGGGAACACAAGCAGGGGGAGTGGGAGAGGGAGAAGCAGGCTTCTCGCTAAGATAGCCTGATGCTGGCTAGATCCCAGGACCCTGGGATCATGACCTGAGCCGAAGGCAGACGTTTAACCGACTGAGCCACCCAGGCGTCCCCTGGTTGTTTACTCTTGTGATGGCCTGGCTGATGTGGCTGCCCATTATCCCAAGAGAGTTTCATACCACGTATCACTAGTTCAGGTAAATACCAAGTCAAAACTCAAAGCATGGTTTCTACTGAATGCATATTGATTTCACACCATTATAAAGCTGAAAAATCTTAAGTCAAACCAATGTTAAGTCATGGACCATCTGTAATTTAAAACTCCATGAAGTGGGGCGCCGGGGTGGCTCAGCTGGTTAAGTGTCTGCCTTCAGCTCAGGTCATGATCCCCAACTCCTGGGATCAAGCCCCGCATCCGGCTCCCCACTCAGCAGTGAGTCTGCTTCTCCCTCTCCCTCTACTGCTCCCCTGCTTGGACTCTCTCTCAGTCAAACAAACAAATAAATAAATAAAATCTAAAAAACAAAACAAAACAAAAAACTCCATGAACTAATTCTTAACCTTCCCAAGTGCCATGCACTGACATTTTCACACTATACTAATTCATTTTTTAAAATGTGTAGTTTTGGGGCACCTGACGGGCTCAGTCTGTGGAGCTAGCAACTTTTGATCTCAGGGTTGTGAGTTTAAGCCCCACATTGGGCCTAGAGCTTATTGTAAAAAAATTAACAAAATAAAAAAAATTAAATGTGTTTTGACTCAATATATTTCCTTGCTTACAAAAGGGACCTCCACCAATGGGTCCCACACAATCCCCTTGAAAAGCACTGCTCTAAGCCATAATCATTCTCCAAAACCTTACTCAAGTCCAACCAATAAGCCTTCATTGACCCCTCCATTCTGAGCTCTTGTGAAATTCCTACAGTTTATTAGTCATGTTGTGTTTTCTGTACTACCCATTTTAACTTGATGTCCTAAGCTCCTCTAGGGCAAGCTTCGGTCCTCACATGCTAAATTCAAAGCACTCAATAAATACAATGCCATTGTGTTTCTGAATCTCACAGTTTTGAAGTGCACTCCTTAGGTTTGGATTTTCCTTGGGGTGGGGCAAGGAAAAGTGGTTTTACAATCTACCCACATACTATGCTTAATTCCAAAATGGAAAAGTGCACAAGTAGTTGCAACTCGACGTGTGTGTAGTTTTCAAGCAAACCAAAGCATCAAGATACACACAATTTTTCTGATAGCTTTCATTACTACTAGTACTCATCTTAACATAGCCATAAAAAAATAAAAGAACCAAGTTCTCACGACTAAAATAGTTCTGGAATAGGAAAAATGGAAAAGTGTTCTGTAGGATCGGCATTGTTCACCACTCTCTGCAACCACACTTTGAGAGTATACTTCCAGAGCCGCGTCCCATTTAAGGGGGCCTCCGCCAGGGTCAGAAGGGAACTCTGCCCAGGGTTGGCGGGCTGTGAGGCCCAGTCTCACCGATCGGGCCTCGCTCTCGGATCACGTCTCCCAGGACGGGGGCGACACCACCCGCCGCCAAAAGGCTGAGGCGGGACTTCCCTCTCTAACCACGCCCCGCGTCCCTCCCCGCCCGTTACTTTCGTCGCGGGACCTGCGCGGCGCCAGGCTCTAGCAACGGCCCTAGCAACGGCCGGGCTCCTCCCTCCTGTGTCTCCCGGAAAGCGCTCCGCCGCGCCCGAGCGCGACCTCGGCCGGGCGCGCGCCTCGGGCTCGGGCGGAGCGGAAGACGCGTGGAGCTGTGCGAGGACCCGCGGGCAGTGCAGGTCTGAGTCCCACTCCGATCCCTGGTGCAGGTCTCCGAGCCCCTCTGCGGACCAGTGGTCTGGCGGGAGACGTGCGACTGCAGGGAGAGGACCCTGCTTGGCCGGGCCCTAGTGGAGGTCGTGCAGGGTGTCGCCTGTGAGCGGGGCCCAGGTCCCTGGGCTCGAACGCTTGCAGTTTTTAGGGTCCTGCGTGCCCTTTGGGAAAAAGGCTTCCAAATTTTTCCTCAGAAAATTTTTTTTTTTTGCCCTAACAATCATTTTCAGTGGTTTCCGCCCTAAGGAAAGTCTGTTCTGGCAGGTAGTCCCCTAGGAACTATATTTTTTAGTGTTTGTAGTGGTTTGCGGGGAATTGGTAATCACAGAACGAGAAGCTTAGTACCGCCATGCAGTGTATTTAAAATATTAAGATAGTGGTTACATAATAAGCCAAGGAGTCTGTTTCTTATGTCTAAATTGTTTCTTGGGAATGTAGGACAAGTAAAGAAGTATATTAATAGTTTAAGATGCCAATTCACGGAGTTGGATGATAAAATCTCTGCTTGAGTGAAAACCACAGCGTTTAAGGATTATTTCTGTCTAAACCCTAGTGTACCATGAAAAACTAAGGCAAGACAGTCTGCCTACCAAATGATGGGTGATGTGGGAGGGGCCATTGGTCCTGTTTGAAAAAGGTGGCACGTTGGATTTAAAAAAATGAATGTTGGACCTGTGTATATTATGTGACCTGACCAGGTTCTTAAAAATACTTGAAAAAAAAAATTTGAAGTGGGTTTTATCTAGTACTGAATTGGTCTACAATACATGGTAGGGGAGTTGTTATAGTATTCCATTGGGAGGTGACTTATACCTCGGAGTTTTTAAAACATCATTGTTTTGAGAAAAAAAACCAAAAAACAACCTGCCATGTTGCCACTCGTGCCAGGCTGCAGATGGCCCATCAAGGTGGTTTGTCAGGTCCTTCAGTAGGGAGATGCATACATATGCTTTCTTTTTCAGAATGGTTTTGATTTAATAAGTGGTTGTTGAATTCCTCCTGCTGCATAAGACACAGGGAGAGATATGTGAGATCAGTAAAGAATTCTGCTCTTGCAGAGTTGATTGCTAGGAGGGATAGCTTCACTAAAAGGCAACTCCAGACTAAAGCAGATTTTTCCATGCTAAATATGTGGAGCCAATAATAAGTGGGCAAACATAAAAAGATGTAAGAGATTGTCATAGATCATGTAAAGTCCTGACTTTGAGACTAAAAATAGAGGATTATATGCAAGGTAGAATTGATGGAACTTGGTCAGTAATTGGTTTTTTGGGGAAAGAGGGTAGAGGGGGAGTAAAAAATTAGTTTTCAACCTAAGTTGCAGAGTGATGAATGTCTCATCAAGGTAAAAATATTTATTAGTTCTTTAGGAATACATTCTTTTTATGTTTTCTAAGTAACTCCCACAACTCCACTTGTATTCCCTGCACAAATTTGATGTTAAGTATGGTTTGAAGGTTGTGAACCATCGTTTGCAACAAACTATTTGTACACATTTGAGGCAGGCTATTGGCTAGGTCAGGACAGATGCCCTTGTCATACGGTGTCAGAGACCTTTGGGGGGAGCTGTCCATGACTTACTATTTCTGGCCTCTTCTGTGTGTGGCCACCACATCCACTGGAGAGTGTATAGGTGAGGCAGGGAAAGGAGCCATAAACATTTCCCTTTCACTGCCTCATAGGTGTTTACATTTGATTTTTGTAGAGGAAGAACGTTTATATAAGGCTTCACTAATGTCCGTTTGGCTTTATGGATGGAAGGCCAAGTGAAATATAGGGGAATATTTCAGAGGCAGAGTGCACTTGGAGGGCCCTAGAAAAACTCATCAGTAGTTTTCCATTGAATGTTAGGAAACACATTGACTTTCATGACATCCCCAGGAACTGTGTCCTTCAGCCCCATTATTGCCTGAGGCCTTTGGTGGCATATGCAAACCCCCTAAATAACTATTAGAACACCCAGGAAAATGGAGTCAGGTTGAATTGGTCCAGTCCAGTTTCTTTTTTAGGATGAGTCCCATGATGGGATAACTCAAGACTATTACAACCTAAAAATGTTTCTCTGTAAGGACCTCAGGCAACACCAGAGCAAACCCAAACCAAGACTTGGGTGCAAATTAACTACCTTCCTAAGTGCAGTAATGAGACCTCGATTGGCTTGTGACAGCTGACCTCTGGTTGCCCAGCAGGGGGGTTGTAGCTCTGATTTCTGGAGACTAATAGGATCTCTTCCCAGACTTTTAAAACTGCTCCTGTCCTTAGATTGACTGTTTGACCTTAGTCAGGATTTCTTTACCTAGATCTGTAGATGGATGCTTACAGATCTGCAAACCATCCGAAATTGTGTACAAAATATTGTGTCTGTGTATGCATTTTCTGCAGATAAGGTCCAAGACTCACATGATCTTAGAAGGATCTGAGACTCAAGAAAAGGTGACAGCTTGGTAAATTTACTTTGAATAAATTTGGCCAGTATGTTTTATTTTTTCCTTCAGTGACAAGCATTTTTTTTCTTTGCATCTTTTTATTTGGGTCTCAAGCTTACTGGGATTTACAATCTATTAAAAAACTCTTGATGAGTAATTAAATTAGTATCACTAACTTCCTGTTGGTAAATTATGTTGTATATTATGTTCCACTGGACTTTTTGTTCACTTTCTATTTGGGATACCACGAAAGAGTTTCCTGTTGGGCGCCTGGGTGGCTCAGTTGGTTAAGCGACTGCCTTCGGCTCAGGTCATGATCCTGGAGTCCCGGGATCGAGTCCCGCATCGGACTCCCTGCTCAGCAGGGAGTCTGTTTCTCCCTCTGACCCTCCCCCCTCTCATGCTCTCTCTATCTCATTCTCTCTCTCAAATAAATAAATAAAATCTTTAAAAAAAATTTTAAAAAGAAAAAGTTTCCTGTTGCAGTGACAGCATTTCTCCTGTCAGTGTTTGTACTCAAAGTGCCCGGGCCTCATAGTTAAACACCACAATGCCATAAGCTTTATAATGAGAGACTCATTTTACAGCTCTGGAATGGATATCAAATCAAAAGGGCCCCAGTCTCTTTTCTCCCTCAAAAGATACTGTGCTTACAGAGTATTCAAATAACAGTTTAGATAGACATCATTCTTCCTGGAAGAAAATATATAAGTGGGAAAGTTATTTTACTATTTTATCTCTAGAACTGAAGACTCTAAATGAATTATATTTTTAAAAAGTGGTATGAAATCTTTGAGTGAGAGGACATTAACATTGCTCTGTAAAATTTTTAAATTTATAAGATCACACTTTATTTTTCTGGGCATATATTTCACCTTTTTGGGATATTTTACAAATTGTAATTGGTAGTAGTAGATGCCTGTCCTGTTTTAATGGATGTTTAGTTGTATTTTTGTGCGTGTGATTTAAGTTAGAGAAGAATATGTCTTTTAGAACATAACCAACTAGATTTTACTGATTTCACTAGAACCTTGTACTTTCATTAGGATTCAGGTTGAGATTTGATGTCATATAACATCAGTTTAAAGTCAGAACCTACAGAGTTGAATACATTTCTGGCTGATACTAACATTAAAACATTGTATTCCTAATATAAAACAAAATAAGAGTCACTGAAAAATGGATTGTTGGTACCTAAATTTTATATTTGAAATAGTTTTTCTAAGAGAGCACCTTTTATTTTTATGGAGGGGATGACTCAGAAGGGTAATTTATTTTGAGTTTATTGCTTCTTAATTTTGTATTTTAAATTGTGCTAATTTTGTGGTTTAAAAAGCTTATTAATACTTGTTAATAAATACTAAAAACAGTATGCAGTTGTGAATTAAATTGAGTAATTTTCTTTGTGGAGACAAGGAATAAAATATTTCCTGTCTTTATTCCACCCCTCCCCCACTTTTTTTTTTCTTTTGCAGTGCACCTATGATTTATGTTTTAGAAATAGATGTTAAACTTTGGTTTGAATGAAAAATGTCTCTCAACCCACCTGTATTTCTCAAAGAAAAGGAAGAAAATAATTCAAAATTTGTAGAAATACAACACTCACAAACTGCTTCCATAGCTGCAGAAGATCCTCTTCAAAACTTACGCTTAGCATCTCAAGAAGTTCTTCATAAAGCTCAGCAAAGTGGAAGATCAAAATGTCTCAAATGTGGTGGTTCAAGAATGTTCTATTGCTATACGTGTTATGTCCCAGTTGAAAATGTACCTATTCAACAGATGCCACTTGTGAAGGTTGGTAAGAAATTTAATTATCTGAAAGTAGGAGAAGAGGTTTTAAAAAGACATCTCATATATACCTGCTGTAATATAATTGATAAGCATGATAAGTAGCATCATTATGGAAATGAATAATATTAATAGAAAATTTAATCTTATAGACTGGTAAACCTATTTGTTTTTCTTGTCTCTGGAAAAAGACACACACACTGCTAAAACACTTGGGTCTGAGATGAATGGTATAGTTTTGAAAGAAATCAATTACTTTTTCATTAATGATTATAATTCATCTAAAACATAGATGTGGCATAAACATGAATACTACAAGAGACAAGTGTATAGATTGCCTGAAGGAACTTCAAAAACTACCTCAGGACCTTGGACTTCTTTTTAAGAAAACATATCCTAAAGGAACTAGGATTGATTTTTGCTTGGGCTTTTGTAGAACGGGCTTAGTCCCATCCTACATGGAGATGGAGCTCATGTCAGTGACCAAAACTAAACTAAAATTAAAAATACTAAGACCTGGGTTGCCCAGTGGCTCAGTCGGTTGGGTGTCTGACTCTTGATTTCAGCTCAAGTTTCAATTACAGGGTTGTGAGCTCCAGCCCCACGTTGGGCTCCACACTGGGCATGGAGCCTATTTAAAAAAACAAACAAACAACTAAGACCTACTCATTAGGATATGTTATAATTTTAGTGATTTAAGCCAGATTTTAAAAAGTTGATTTGCATTGATTGCTTACCTTACATGTTTTGTTGCTTACCAAGACTACTCTTGTGTAGGTAAAAGGTCTGTAAACCATGATGTCTATGTAATCAAAGAATTTATTACATATATGTCAACTTGTCTAACATTGACATGAACTTTAGGAGTAAATCAAATAATGTATAAAATTTGCTGCCTGTTAGGACTTTGGAGAGACTAACCTCTACACATGGACACATTAGAACTTGCTAGTAAGAAAATAAGCTAAAACTATATTTAAAAATATTTAATGTGGTGATTTTAAGATTCATTTACATTTGAAGTAAAATACCTTAATACTTATATTTTGTTACTTGAATTTCAGTTTAGCTTATATGTCATCTTGGCAAGTCCAGGGTCTCCTCAGGGGTCTAAAATCACACAAGCTATTGGAAAGTTTACTGGACAAGAGAAATAAGTATGGACTCTAATCAGCTTCATAGTTACCTTAGAAAAACTGAGAGCTTGAGGAAAATAATCTTCTTTAAGTTTCCTATTATCTTGTAAGAATGTTACATTTCAAAGTATAGTTTTTGAAGTATAAACAGAATTATTCTATGTTCTGTTCATATCATAGCCACATAAAGAGAATATCCCTTTAAAAGTTTTATCTTAAGATGTATTGTGTTCAAAAGGATTGAAGATCAGAATAATAAAAGTCAGCAACATTTTATTTTCACAGAAATTTAATAATAGAGGATTATTTTCCAAATCAGTGATCTAATGTCCACTATTTAATAGAAGTGACTTAAAACACTATGCCAAGTATTTGATCAACTCTAAATGGCCTACCGGAGCATGCAGAGTTTTTAAAAGTGTTTATATTTTAATGGCCATATATGAAACTCAGTGTGTTAATATATATTAATAGTAATAAAAGCTCTATAAAGTTTTTTTCTAATTTTTACTTTATTTTTACAAATCATTCAGCATTTGCTTTTAGATAGCCTGCTTGGGAAGGGAAGACGACTACATAATGAGTAAGTGCCTCCCAAGCTTTAAATTTTAATCTACAGAATAAATTCATAAATACTGATTTTTTCATGCAGAATATGATTTTTTTTTTAATGTCATGAGAAATGCATGAGTAAAAGTAAAAGATGCTCTTGGTATTTTTAAAAGAGGAGCAAAAAAAATCATGAGGTCAAAGAAAGCTTCCTCTTTTTTAGAGTCCTAGAATTTAAAAGACTCTCTTTGGGAAAGTTAATGATCACATAGGAAAAGACTTAGGACTTCCTGCTAATGGCATTTTGATAAATTTGGCAGAAAGGTTTGGTAAATCTCCTATAGGAAATATAAGTGTTAGAGAACAGATTGATGTTCTTCATGTTTGAAAACAGAGTATCTCTACTTTCTGGTGTTACTCTGTACCCTGTCATTATTTAGGAAATATCTTCCTTTAAAATGTGTGAACTAGAGCACAAACATATGTTTCCATGATTTGATCTGTGTCTGTGCTTTTGTTTCAGTGTCAGAAATTTCAGGCTTGCTCAGGGAGAACTAAAGTAGCTAGACTAGGTCCCAAGAATACTTCTTGAGCACAGATTTTGCATAATTGTCTTATACCTATAGGATTTAGTCCATAATAGGCAAGGTATGTGACATTTAAATACATGAATAACACTCAGTCCTGTGTCCTTGATATAAATGATACCCTTCAGACATAGCCAGCTGGTGAGAAATGTTGATGGTCACCTTTGGAATTTTCAGTTCTACTCATTAGCCCTGTAGGAAAGTCAGTTTTATTAGTAATAGAATACTATATCATGATGTGCTTTCTTTTTCTTCTTTCCTATCTTCCCTGGGCTAAGATAATGCTGATCTGGGACTGAGAGACCCTGGGGAAAGGGAATGTAGTGTCGAGACTGAGCATCATGAGGAAATTCTGATGTAGAGTTCAGCCAGAAGTAGACTGATGTAAAATCATTTGTGAACTGCCTACTTAAATGGTAAATTTTCTATAACTAGAAGTTGGTTTGATGATTTAAAGCAGTTGGCCCTAATTGGTCACTAGGCCTAAGTGGGGAGGGAAGGAGATAAGGGGTTTGGAACCCTAAAGTGAAAACTATTTGGGATACATTTTTATGGCCCTTCTGGGATATATACCATCCTTTTTCCACACAATCATCCAGAAAGATAAAGTATGTGCAGCTGGGATCATTCAGTAGCATGCAGCAACTACTCCTTTAAAAAACAGCTCTGGAAGTAATGATACAACAATATGGTTGAATCTCAGAATAATTATTCCAAGTGAAAGTTGTCAGATGAAAAGAGTACATACCATATTATTTCATTTATATAAAATCCTAGAAAATGCAAACCAACCTATAGTGATAACAGATCAATCATTACCTAAGGACTGCGGGTGGTAGTTGATGGGGAAAGGGGAAGGATGGAGGCACAAGAAGGCTTTTGGAGGTGACAGATATGTTCATGATCTTGATTATGGTGATGAATTCAAGGGTGTTAAAATTCATTATATTGTACACTTGAAATATGTGGAGTTTATTATACCAATTTTACCTATTTAAGCTGTTTTAAAAAAAGAAAAATAGTTTTGTACTCCAGGATAAATTTAGCTTGCCCCAGGGTAAATACCTAGAATCCTGCCTGTTAATGGGTTGGGTGGGAGCTGGAAGAGTTTGTAATAATATGTAAGTCATTTATAATCTGCAGTGAAGAATCCATCTCAGTTTCTCATATATATTTTGAGGGGGATGTGACTCAGCTTTCATTTTCATAATCATGACTGACTACAGCACTTGCACAAGTGTTACACAGGAAACTAAATCAAACTTAAGTCAGTGAAATAATAGAAAAATCTAACTCAAAAAATACAAGAGAATATTATTTTTTGCAAAGAGGCAGGATGTAATTCATAACAATTAAATAATGAAACTTTAAGGAAAATAGACAAAATGATTTTAAAGAGAGTTGATTTTTATATAAAGTGTGTACCTCCTAGACCTATTCTGTTACTTTTCCAATTGATAATTTCATTTGTGCTGTTAAAGGCCACTGATGAGAATCATGATGTTCACAACAAAGAGTGAACCCTTTGAAGGGTAATACCTTTGATCTCAAAGGATGTATAGGGAATAAAATTTTGACTTGAATTTTAGATGTGAAGCTTTTGCCCAAACTTATATTTCCTTTTATTGTGTCATAAAATTAACAATCCTAAAGTTTATAGGAATTATAAAAAATGTTCTTGACACAGATACTGAAATGCAAGGAATTGGACTTAATGCCTATGTAGCGTAAATGAAAATGGCCTTGAAGCTTTGCTTTAAGAACAGATTTTATGTTAAATAAGTTGGAAATAATTATTCTATTACATGATCAACAATATTGAGGAAGAAATTTAGGTTTGCTTTATGACTCTTAGCATTCCTAATATTCTGGTTTAGAAAAGTATGCCTTTCAAATCATATTTATAGGAACTTAGTGTGAGCTTGTTATTTAAGCTTTGAAGGTCATTTTTCTTAACATAAAAATTAGAATTTTTATATTGTGTTCATTTGTCTTTTTTTTTTAATTTTAGCTTCCACTGAAGATTGATATCATTAAACATCCAAATGAAACAGATGGCAAAAGTACTGCTATACATGCAAAACTATTAGCACCTGAATCTGTAAATATTTACACATATCCTTGTATTCCAGAATATGAAGAAAAGGACCATGAAGTAGGCAACTTATTTTTTACAACTTTTCACATTGAATCTAAAAAAGAATTTTAAATTCCATCACCTTTCTGAATTTACTTGAACATAATTTAATATTTTTCTTAGTGACCTAGGGTTATCTTTTTGTAGCACTAAACAATATACAATTTATTTACTTCATTGGTATCTTCAAAGATCAAATGATCTTAGATTGTTAAGGCTTTTTTGAATTTTGTCTTTCCACTTTTTATAGTTGTTCTGCATTATATCTTCAGGTTTTTACTCTTTGCCAGTATTACTGTGTCTGCTTTACTTCTCTCCTCTCCATTTTCCTCCCGATACTACATATAGATGGTCTAATTTTATACAAACTAAGAAACCATATTACAAACATTGTTGGAATTTCTCTGAAAGAAGAAAAGAAAGTCTGAATTAGAAGGATTTTCAAGAATTCTCCCTGAATTAAGAGCTTTAATACGTGGCCTTTGTAACATCTTGTGGCTGCTCAGAGGCCTTCCTTTGATCATTTCTAGATTCTAAATTGGTTTTCACATAGTTGAAATTGGTGAGATATTACTGCTCTTGTTGAAAAGTAATAGATCTCAAAAAAAAACAAGGCCTTGGGTATTTCTAAAAAAAGTATGTAAACCCTTCTAGGTTTCTTGGAGACCATTTGTTGGTGTGATTAATCTGGAAACATAATTAAAAATTAATATGTTCATTTGTTCTAGGCAGAACTTAGTTTTTCCTTTCCCATCAATATATATGTATTTATTTTTTGGTTGAGTTCATATAGAAAGTTGTTTGTAAGTGATTTCTGAGTTTTGGATCTAGGAATATATTTGTGTTTCCCTCTCTGGTCAGCAAGGTATCATTTATGTCAATTGAATAGAATACGGTGCTAGGTTCTACAAAGAGATGTGATATGCTTACAGTCCAAGAAAATTACGAAGTCCTGAACTTTGCTGATTGGGCATAGGGGAAATATAGGCACACACTGTAAATGTTTGAGAAACTTTTATAACTCTGAAGTTTTTAAATTCAAGATTTGTTCTTTTATTTTTAACTGCTTATTTTTTCATATTAAAAATGATATGTGCTCATTAAAGAAAATGTGGGAAATACAGAAAAGTATGGGAGATAAAATACCCACGATTTAACCAACATTTGTTCATTTAACAAATACTAATTGGGCACCTGCTTTGTGGCAGGAGCTGTTCAGACGTTGCAGCCTCTAACAGTGTGTAAGGTCTCAGTAAAAACATGCTGAAAGAAAGGTAGCATAATTTACAGAATTTTTCATTGAAAGATTTTTCAGTTTTAATTTTTAACTGTAATAAATATACTTTAACAGATACTCTGGTATTGTGAGTTATATTTACAATTATTTTATTAAGATAAATTCCTAAAAGTGAAATAACCAAAGGGTCTGAATATTTCAGGGCTCTTGATTTAAAGTGCCAAACTGCTTTCATGAAGAGTTATACTATTGAAACCTGATATCAGTAATGGCTATAAAGGCCCATAACACCATATCCTCACCAGCATTGACTGTATTATTTGTTTTATCTCTGCTTATTATATAGGTGAAAATTGTATTTAATTATTGAGTGCTTTTCATTGGTTCTTTTACCTGGTATCACGTACGTTGTCTTTTATGCTGTGAAATATTACAGTATTTAGTTTTTTGATTCACGATACAACTAACTTGGCTTCTGTCAAGAGGTGAATAACTTATTTTGAAGCAATACTTCTAGCTAGTATATTATGATTTTTAAATCCTAGGGAAGAGCCAAAAACTTTACCATACTTATTAAAGAAACATATAAACTTTCAAATGGCTGAAGTGCTTGTTATAGAACCTAATGCTTGTTTCTCAAGTATTCAACATGTTTGTTTCTCTTAAAGTTTTAAGAGTGTCAGAATTTATTCATTTTGAAGATCATAACAGCGCACTACTAACTTAAGTTTCTTTGCTTTAGGTTGCACTTGTTTTTCCTGGACCTAAGTCTGTCTCAGTAAAAGACATTTCTTTTCATCTGCAAAAAAGGATTCAAAATAATGTTAAAGGCAAAAATGATGACCCTGACAAGCCATTTATTAAACGCAAGAAAACTGAAGAACAGGATTTGAATGACAGCAACGGCCAAGACACAACACTGAAAAAAATTATATTTATAGATAGCACCTGGAACCAAACAAACAAAATATTCACTGATGAGAGACTTCAAGGTAAAAAAATAAAATTTTTGTGGATTGTTCCTTCCCCCAACTTTCATTTCAAATACTTCAAACATGCAGATATATTGGAAGAATTGCATCATATACTCGTACATTTTGCCACATTTGTTTTATTTCTCTGTTACATGTATGTGTATACTTAGATATTATATACATTTTTGGTTGAACCACTTGAAAGTAAGTTGCAGGCTTTGCAATACTTCACCCTTAAATATCTAACTGCACATCTTTTAAGAATAATTGCATAATCGTAATGCCATTATCACTCTGGGAAAATTAACAGAAGTTCTAATATCTAATACAGTCCATATTTACATTTCCCTAATTGTTCCAAAAATATCTTTTGTAGCTTTTTTCTTCTGATTCAGCATGTAAGCTTACATTCTATGTAGTTATTATATCCCTTCAGTCTCTTAATGTAGAGCAGTCCCCTGTTTTTGTTTTCTTGACTTAGACTTGTTGAAGAGGACAGGTCAGTTGTCTGAATGCTTCATCATGATTTGATTCAGTTTAGTGTTTTTGTAAGGATACTTAGAGATAAGGATCAATCTAGGGTTGTCCATGACAATTCCAGTTTACACCTATTGTTTTGGTATAATTATTAATAGCATTCCCTTTCAGTCTTAGAAATGTAGCTGTTTAGGGCGCCTGGGTGGCTCAGTTGGTTAAGCGACTGCCTTCGGCTCAGGTCATGATCCTGGAGTCCCTGGATCAAGTCCCGCATCGGGCTCCCTGCTCAGCAGGGAATCTGCTTCGCCCTCTGACCCTCCCCTCTCTCATGTGCTCTCTCATTCTCATTCTCTCTCTCTCAAATAAATAGATAAAATCTTAAAAAAAAAGAGAAATGTAGCTGTTTAGCTGATAAATTATATGATTACCCTGTTCATAGGTAAAGTTGTATACTTATTGCATCAAATCAGGAGGCATATAATGTAAGTTTCATTACTGGTAATAACTTTAATTATTTGATTAAAGTGGTGATTGCCAGATCTCTCTATTATAAAAGTTCATTTCTTCTTTGAAACGAGTAGTAATCTTTGGAGTGATGCTTTGAGACTGTGAACTATCTATTTCCCAGCTGCTTTTCACTGAGTGGTTTTAGTATTTATTGATGATTTGCCTAAATCAGCAAATACATTGAGGATTGCAAAATGATGACATTTTAAAGTATTATTTCTTTTATATTTGTTAGCTGGCATTCTTATGTAAAGAGCTCTTCTCCCCTCTCCCCCCCTTTTTCTTTTCTCCTGCCCCTTTTTGAGGTCACTATGGGTTTATAGATTTCCTTTTAGTTCATCATATGTAATATGCTGTGATTGTATTCTTTTTGATGTCTAAATTGTCTCAAATTTTGCCAGTGGGAGCCCTTCAAGTCCTCTGTGGCATGGCCTCATTAGTCTTTCTGGTACAACAGGATGTCCCAAGTTCACGTGTACTTTTTTCCTGCCCCAGACATAGAGCCAATGATTATGCAAAGGAGCTGTGGTTCTTTTTAGTGGGGAGTGGTATTAGAAACCAAGATCTGGTAAATTTATTACAACTTGGATGTCATTGCTTCAGTGGATAGAGCCAAGGAAAATAGATATATATCATGAGTTCACATGGATAGTTCCAATTCCAAGATTTAATATTACAGGGATTTTCTTTTGTTTTATCTTTGTACTCTCTTAGAGTGAAAAGTTCAGTTCCTAATAAAATGGTTTAAAAGAGTTGCTTTGCTTGCCCAAGTAGCACAACTAGTAATATGAAGAACAGAAACTCATGTTACCTCTCTTGTTTACTTGCACCTTACTCAGTTCTTCAGGCTTTTCCAGTAGTTTCTCTAAAAACGTTAGATATATTTCTAGCTCTTGATGGCCTTGTATGTGTACCATGTATGATTAGAAGGCAAGAGAGCTACCCGGTTGGTTTTAGGTGGTTGCCAAAATAGAGCTTTTCTCAGGCTGTTGTTAAAAATGCACTTCACCTAGAAGAGAAAGTTTATGACACTTTTTGGAGTTTAACTTGTAGTAAGTAATCCCAAACTAAAGTTAGTGACAATACTAGATTTAGTTTAATATGCATAGTTCATACCTCTGAGGTCAACATACCTGTTAGTTAGTAAGTCATTCTATCGTGTATATGTTTCTGTGTTTGTATGTGAGAAAGATAGGCAGAAAGATACAGACAGAGAAAGTGTGTGTGTGTGTACATGTATGTGTGTGTGTGAGAGAGAGAGAGACAGTGGGGAGGAGGAATGTGGGAGGGAGAGAGAGAAACTACAGAGCATAAGACCTGGAAGAACCTTTTGCTGATGTTTAATAGAGAGATGGAACCCTAAGGCCCTGCTGTTTGGAGTACTACCTGCCAATATTACCTTGGATGGTTACAGCACCAACTTATTCCTCAGTTTGAAGATTTTTTCTGAGCCACTCTCTTTATAATTACCATATATGGTAATTGAAAGGATCAAATGAAAGAACATGAGTGAGAACAGTAGAAAAAACTGTAAAAGGAATTATTGAGGCACAATTCAAAATCTGTTTTCAGAGTGTTCATATTTGAGCTTAAGGCTTAAAATCAGATTTGGAAAAATTTCTGTTATTCCTTCCCAGATCACATAGTAAGTATCATATATTTCAATTCTGTGCTATATGAAAATTTTTAAAAGGGATTTCTTAATTCCTTCAAAATCATGAAATAAACAGATTCAGTGTTCTCTGCATGTCCTACTTCAACCCCTACCCCTTCTGGCTCCTTATTGCACCATAGGGAGTATTTGGGGCTCTGCACATATTTATAGCCTCTGTATATGTGAAATACCAGTTTCCAGATAAACCAAGTTATTTCCTCAAGAAACAACCCATGTTTGCTATAAATCATTGCCTTTAGGTTTTAAAACATTTTATCATTTGATGGGATTAAGCTAAACCAGCTCTAAACCTCAGATAAAACCCTCAAATGTAATGTATTGGAAGTTGTGTTTCTGTTATCTTATGAATGCTGAGGTTAAGAATCCCCTTAACAATGTGAAAACATACTGTTTTGCCACATTTTACAGAGAAATAGCTCTGAATGTTTTACTGCTGCTAAAATAAAACACTTGAAGGTTGACTGTATAATTAATCATAAAAAGTGAAGAGTGACATAACATTCTTGAAGATTGACTGTAGGAAGCCTTGGGAGGACATGGTAGGGAAGGATGGTCTCTTTTTGTTGGGGAGGCAGTCCAAATGATAAAAATGGCATTATATTGTAATTTGTTTTAGAAATTAGCCAGCTTTCTCCCTTCATTTTGACTACATTGATAAAATGTTTAAAGTGACTGCTTTTTTCCGATTAAAGGTATTGCCTGAACTGTACTCAGTGTGTCTGTGAGTGCAGCATCATATACTGCCTCATTCAGTCCTCCCAGCAACAGTATGAGAATGGCTCAAGATTTTTATTCTCATTCTTCAGTTGAAGAAATTCAGGCAATAATTTTGAAGAGAAAACCATTTATAATTATCTGCTTTAAAGTTCTACTGCTAAAAAATTTGCTGAATTCATCATAAAGTTATTGATTCCCAGAAATGCTAGCAAAAGAATTTTTTAATGTATGTGTTGAACTTTTAAAAATAAATCCTATGCCTGTGTATTTCAGTGTTTTAAAAGGTTCTGTATACTTGCAAGCAAATCTTTAAAGCAGGATGGATTAGTGGTAATAATCACTAAATCTTGATTTTTATTTTTAACATTTTAGAACATATTAGGTGTTTCAGAAACTGGCACCATTTAACAGTTACTCTTTTTTTTTTTTAGAAATTGCATGTGCTGTCAAATCCTATGTTAAGATTTTAATTATACTAATTACTTAGAACATTTTCAGATGTCTCCCTTTACTTCTTGGATATAATTAACAATTAATACAAATAGTTCAAAAGGGTTTGGTTTGGGTTCTTACAACTTTTGTGTATCTTTGAATCAAAATTATTCAAATTGAAATATTTTCAAAATACATAGATAGAATACTTTAAATCTTTTGTGATTTGTCCATTTATTCAGAAATATTTGTTGAACACCTGTTCCTGGACAGGTGGTGTCCTAGACTGGAGGATATGAAGGAGAATAAAGCAATATCTCTACCTTCCAGTTGATCACAATGGCTGTTAGTTAGGGTTGTGTTTCACCACATGAAACAGAAACCCAGATAGAATCTGAAAACAAATAGTGGGTTTACTTTTTACAGGTTCAAGTCCAGAAATGGGTAGTCCAAAGCTGTTACAAAAACTTCACAATGCCTGTAAGGACTCAGACTCGTTCTGTTTTCTTCCTCCATCACTTTCACCCTCACACTTGTAAGATAGCCGCTAGGTCCCGAGACATCCCATATATATTGCAGGCAAGACAAAGGATAAAGGGCAATATGTATATGCCCACTGAGTCTGGCTCTTTCATTAAAAAAGAAGTATAATAATAATAATAGCTTTCTTGGAATTTCCACCTAGGAGATTGCAGTTTTCCTTTCTTTGGCCAGAATGGTTCACCTGACCACTCTGGCTATAAATAAAGTTGGGAAATTGTTTTTAGCTGGACACGTGCCACACTGAACAGGATTGAGTTTGTTAATACTGAGAGAAGGGGAAAATGAATATTGAGAAGACAGTGGACATTGTCTGCCATGTAATCTGTTGTGGGAGGCAGGCGGGTAAGCAGGTAAAAAAATTCAATAAGTTTTGGATACAGTGGTAGCATTGAGGAGACACAACCCTGCTCTACCTAGAGTCCCTGGATGGATTAACTGTTTCTGTTGAAATCTTGATGGGTAAAGGGCTAAGGGTTGGGCATTTCAGACAAAGGGAATGACATACACACAAATATACAAAAACATCATTTTGCATTCAGGAGACTGAAAAAATTGAATAAGGTGTAGAATGTGTACATACATGAGAATGGTAGGAGAAGCAACTGAAGGAATACAAATTATGAATGCCCTTGAATATCATGCCTGAGAATTTGGTCTTTTTTTCCACAGGTGCTGTGGCAGTATTAGAGAATTTAATGCGAGACATTGACATGATTAGATTTAGATTTATGTTGTAAGCCTAATGGAAAGAATAGGGCCAGGACCTGACTTCTAGCTCCAGTTCTGCCATAAATAGGCAAAGGTGCTTTTTATATTACTTTTTAAACTAAATTATGATACATGTGAAAGAATATATATGATATAATGTTATAGCACATAGTGAGATAATAAATAAGAACCCAAGCACCAGAGTTGTACTGGTAACTTTTATCTACCTATGTTCTCCCCTCTGCCACTCTACTTCTTCCCCCCCAACAGAGTTAACTGTTCTCCTGAATTATGTTTTTATCATTCCTTTGTGTTTTATTAAATACATCTATTTTCATAATCATTTTATTACTTAGTTTTCTTTATTTTGACCTGCATGTTGTATTCCTGGGGACCTAAAATCTAAAGTCACCATTTTATTTCTAAGGTTTGTCCATGTTGTTATATGATTAGCTATAGTTTATTCATTTTCACTGCTGTATAATATCTGACTGTGTGAATATACTACAGTTTATCCAGTCTCCTGTTTATGAAACACTTGAGCTGTTTCTAGTTTTTGCACTTAAAAATAGTGCACCTACGAACATTCTTATGCAGGTACAAGGTTCCTTTAGGAAACATGCCTAGACTTGGAATTGTTGGGGAATGCTCACTTCTCCAAGATAATGCCAATTGTCTTCCAAAGTATGGGTATATAAACTTACACACCCGTCATTAATGTATAAGAGTCCCCATTGATCCATGATGCCTCCTACCTTGTATTGTCAAATGTTTGATTTTTGCCAATATAGTGGATATAAAGTGGGGTCTCATTGTAATCATAATTTGCCTTTCCTTAATTAATAATTGGATTGAGTATCATTTTCTTTACTTATTTGGTCACATATGTCCTATTCTGTGAAATACCTGTGTATTTTTCTAGTGTTTTTTTTTTAAAGATTTTTTATTTTATTATTTATTTGACAGAGAGAGACACAGTGAAAGAGGGAACATAAGCAGGGGGAGCGGGAGAGGGAGAAGCAGGCTTCCCGCAGAGCAGGGAGCCCAATGTGGGGCTCGATCCCAGGACCCTGGGATCATGACCTGAACCGAAGGCAGACGCTTAACAACTGAGCCACCCAGGCACCCCTCTAGTGTTTTTTTAATTGATTTTTGTAGGAATTCTTTATATCTACTAGAATATAAATAGTAATGTTTTGAAATATCTTCTTGCAGTTTATGACTCATCTTTTAAATTTCTTTATTGTGTATTTATTCTGCTTGAGATACATTATTTCATGTATCTGTGACTTTGCATTTTTAAAAATAGTCTCTGGAAAAGTCATAGGCATTATCTCTTTATATGCTATCTCTTCTCCATTCTCTTTGTTCTCTTTCCTTGGGAGTCCTATTAGACATTGGATCCTCCTTATATCTTAAAATCTTAATTTTTTATAGTATTTATTTCGTGTCCCTCTGCTGCATTTCTGAAGTAGCTTTTAGGTTAAGGAGAGGTGTGATAGTAGGAAATCATTGGTAACTCAGAGGTTCCAAATCTTAGTAAAGAGGCTAATTTTAATACTATCTTCTCCCTTTTATTTCTCACTTTAAAATAAATATACTTTTTTAAAAAGTATAGCAAAATAAATATAATGTGAGCCTAAGTACTGGCCTAAGGCTCTAAAAGCATTTTGGGTTTGTATGTTAACATCTGAGTTTTAAGAAATGAGAGTACTGTTCTGTGATTTCATGAATAATTTCCTCTTTAAATGCACAGGAGTAAGGCATTCTAGCCGACTGTGTCATTGAGGTCTCACTCAACAAATGTGGCAGAGCTAAGGAAACAACTCTAGGGTACTCTGTTCGTGAAGATATAGCTAAAAAGTGATAGTCCAGAAATAAACTTTTAACCATATTAAGAGCCATTAACCTGCCTCTCTCTTTTCCGTGAGTTTTATAATGATGTTTTAAATGTCAGGTCATCAAGGAAATGTAACCCTTCTGAATATTGGTGAATTTAGTCCTGTCACTGGTTAAAGTAAAAAAAGACACTGGTGAATAGAAGATAGAAAGAGGTGAACATCTTAATTGTTAACTACTTTTAACTCGTGGTTGCAAGTTCTAAGATTTATAGATAAATAACTGTCATATAGAAGATTTTGTTCTGTGTTTTATATTGCTTCTGTATATGCCTTAATGCATTTAAGAAAATATTCTATTTGGAATTGGGATTGAAGGAACTCATCTGTACTCTTAAAAGAATCCTTTTTTTAATTCTTAAAATAATTAAGAGAACTTATCATTGTGCCAGACTCTGTGGTTAAGAAGAAATATTTATACTTTTTTTAATTTGTTTTTGGCAGGATTGTTACAAGTTGAGTTGAAAACAAGAAAAACTTGCTTTTGGCGCCATCAAAAAGGAAAGCCAGATACCTTCCTTTCCACAATTGAAGCCATTTACTATTTTCTGGTAGACTACCATACTGATATATTAAAAGAGAAATACCAAGGACAATATGACAATCTCTTATTTTTCTACTCTTTTATGTACCAGTTGATAAAGAATGCCAAATGCTCTGGAGACAAGGAAACAAGAAAACTTATCCATTAGTTTTTAAGAAGCTACTTATGTCATTTTATTTTGCTAAAAATCAATAAACCTGTAATTGTGCTTTGTTTATTCTTAGGAAATATTAATGTATAGTGTCTGTAAGACCACTTGAAAAAATAAGGTTTCATTCATTTATCTCATTTTTTTAAAGGGAATTATTTCTAAAGGAATTTTCAGAGACAGCGTTGACTGAAAAACTCATTTCAGAAGCTATTTTCTGAAGTTTGGCATATCCAAATTTTATTACTGTATTTTAATATATCTATGTAATTAGATATAATTAGATATTTGTTTAGGGATCTTCATATTTTTCCTTCTGTACCCACTACCACATTTGGAGGTAGGAGGGGTCAGAATCTCCTTGCTGAAAATGAAGTCATAAATAATTTACTGGAGGTTTGTGGCAAACACGGGCAGAACTGGAATTGTGGCGTCAGTCCCTAGGGCTATTTCTTTAAGTCCATACTGCCTGTGATGGACATCTGTTGCTTTTTACATTTGCCTGACATCTTCTTTTGGGGAGAAATTGCTGGCAGTCATGTGGACATGTGACCCAGTTTAGCAAGCAAAATGCCCAGTGATTGATCCAAGGATATGCACATGACCCAGCATCCTTTTTGATAAGTGATATGAATGCTGTAGGAGATAAGGTTTACTTTTCAAAAAGCAATACGATGCAGTAGTTAAAAGCACAGACTCTAGAGCTAACTACCTGAATGTAAATCTCAGCTTATCCTTTTCCACTTACCAGTCATGTGTCAGTTTCTTCATTTCTAAAGAGATGTTAGTACAGTAGCTCCCTTACAGAATTATTATGAGGATTAACTGAGTTAATGTATCTAAGGAGCTTTCAACAGCACCTGGCATATACTAAGTGCTGTATATGTGTTTACTCTTTTTATCATTTTATCTGAAGTTGCAGACTAACCATGCTATAACCTGAGAGCTGCTGGTGGCATCTGTGCTGCAGATGGTAGGAACTTGCCTTAGAATGAAGCCAGCAAAGGAAAGCAGAGAGGAGAGCTAAGACCGAGTTCCGAGGACATCATTTAATCACCTAATCTAGCTTCTTAAGAATGGAGCCGTACTGTGCCAGATAGCTTCTGTTTGGATTCACCCTCCACCTTTTTCCATTCTGCTCTCTGCTCTGTGAGGTGGGTCCCCTTCCCCTCTGGATTTTGGTTAGGTTCAACAGATGAAAGCATTCGTAAGAGATTGGAGGTTGAAGGAAAATTAAATTGTATTATTTATTTCCCTTGCTCCTTTCCTGCCAGGTCACCATGGATTGGCTGTGTACCTCTCCTGGAGACCATTCTATCAGGCATTGCTTTCCAGGCAGTTATCCCGGTTACTCTCTCTAATTTCACGTCCCTGCTCCATCCCTTTACAGGAGGGAAGAGCCCCCCCAGGTGTAACTAGCCCCAGAGTAGTTCATTACTCCTTGCTGGCTTCCCTACACCCTGCCTATACCTTTGTAAATAGTCATTTTATTATATTCTTCTCCAGTGTCCCTCTGTTTCTTTCTGGGACCCTGATTGATAGATGCAATCATGTGGATGCTAGCAGTAATGATACATTTACCTAAGTATATTCAGGGCAACACATAACATGTTTTATGAAAAAATGAGTCATTGGTGAAATTTATTTGCTGCACATCATATTCCCCTCTTAGAGATTCAAAAGGTACAGCTTAAAAGTGCTGGAAAGTCTTGAAATAAACATTTTGAACTTTAAGTTAGTATTTCTTAAACTTATTTGAATAAGTAGTGCCTACTCACATCTTGTGGATATAGGATAATTGGAACATTACAGTTTAGAGCAATCCCTGATTATATAGGCAGCTGAGATCTAAAGAGATTAAGTAACTTGCTCATGGGTCACACAGCTAGTTAGTGGTAGGATCTGGTCTAGCGTCTGGGACTTCTGATTTGGTTCAGTGAAGTGACCATTTTATTATGCTATTTCATAAACAGTAGTGGGGATTATATAAGGTTTGAACATGATTAGTCCCATAGTCTTAGCAAATCAACTGGCTTGCCTATTTAGCATTTATTTTACAAGAATGGAATTAAAATGGATTTCTTCATGTTTAGAACTTGGCCTTGGGAACAGAGGAAGCCCCAAGTTGATTTAAGCAGGGCCAAAGTTGGATTTCTCTGGGCTAAATTTGGACTTCCCTGAGCCAAAATCTATTGCCATTTAACTGGCTCTACAAACCAACTAAACATAACAGGTAAGAGGGAGGGGTTTGCCCCCATCTCACAGCTGGCATAAAAATGATGACCCACAGACTTCGTAAGAGCCTAATTTATAGCTAAGGCCAGATAAAATCTCAAGGTTTTCCAAAGAAAATAATAATACCTTTTAGAACAATGAATTGCTTTTCTTTGGTATGATAGACTGTAAAAATGTCCCTAATTCTTTACTTTTCCTTATATTCATGATCCTTTTTCATTCTCCTTTGAAGTACCCTTTCACTGATTCTGGACCATTTTTGTTTTCAAAGATCTAGTGGATTTTTACTGAATCTTGTGCTTCTGCTGTTGCCATAAGCACATACATGCTTTGGTTAGCCTGCTGGAGGGTTAGACATGCATGGAGTAGAGCCAAGTTATTGGTTACTCTAGCTGAATCCTGTCTAGATTAGCTGACAGCCAAGTCAACCCCCAGATAATGTGAATGATCTCTTCTGGGATCAGCAGAACCACCCGACACCTTTCTGATTCTAGATGTGTTAGCAAGGGATGTCCATTGTGCCACTGAAGTTTTATAGCTGTTCGTTGTACAGCGTTATTGTGCCAATAGATAACCTCGTCTTTAGATTCAGTATCTGACACATCTTCCTCAAGTGCCTTCTCAGGTTCTGAGCCTCACTGTTTCCCAGGCCACTAACCACTCATTCTGCCATAGCTACCACCCTGCATAGATAGTGACAGTGATTCCTCTGCCTGAGGTCAACTAGCCACATGCTCAGAATCCCAGACCTATCCCAACACTTCTGCACTCTAGGAAGTATCATGCCACAAAGTTTCCCCACTGACTGTCAGAAGAAGGGCTAGGTGATGTATGTGGAAGAGCAGTGAAGTTAACTGTTTGGAAAACTTGGATCAGTGAACTAGAAGAAGCTGTCAGATCAATTTCTTTCTTTTTTTCTGATAGACTGCTTTGAGGCACAGTTTTTCACTCTCCTGCGCAGAAATACACCATGTAGCTAAGCAAGTGTACTTGTCAAGTGAGTGGCAGTCTCATTGTGGCTTTTGATGAAACAGAAACCAAGTGCTATGCAATAACTTACCAATTTGCATTTGCTTTTCATCCTGGCTAGCCTTTCTTTCTTCCTTACTTTCACCAGCATGGATTGCCCTTTCTAATAAAGTAATATATTAATTTTTTGCCTTAGGCTCTCTTTCTAGGGCAGCCATATGTGTTAGGATTTGGTGAGGAAAGCAGATTCATTACAAGTATTACATGAATAAAGAGGTTTAATATGAGTCGTATGAGTAAAGATCTGGAAGACTGTAGCAGAAAAGGATTGGAGAAACTGTCACTAACTAGTTCAGCCTGAGATGTTCCGAGTGTTCATGACTTAGTTTGTAGACCTGTATATCTTGAGCATATCAATCTTCTTATTACTTTTAATCAATTAATCCCTTAATCTTTGAGGTAGCTCTTTCATTCAAGGGAAAGGCATCCCCTTTCATCCCTTCAGAGGTCTTAAAAGAATGAGTATATTGTTATACTCTTTATTGGGTCTTTTTCTTGAGTCCATGATAATGTCTTTGTCCTAAAGCTACATTTAACTATCACACATTTGATTTGGTGAAAGACATTTCATTTTCCAACCCTGCCCACCTAGGCTCTGTATTCCATTTCAATTCTATTTGCTTGCCTACCTCCTTATTTTTGAGCTTGTTTCTTTCTTAGAGTAAGTACTTGATCAATTACAGCTAATAGCAGCCAACTTATTTTTTCAAAATTCTGCCTTAAAATCTCACCCAATGCCATGCATGCATTAGATACATTTTCTGTCTTCCATGTTACTGCAGGCAATAATTTTACCAGAATTTTTTCTTCAAATACTAACAACTAAAATACTCTCTTAAAGTTTGGCTAAAGCACGTAATGAGAGTTTAATGAAGACCACCAGCCAAAAAATCAACACCCATAAATGAAAGCCCGGCATCACTAAACACTTGGTAAAATGAAATCCTCCGAATAAAAAAAGTGGGGGGAGGAGCGATTAACAAGGAGGGGGAAAATCCAAAGGAACTAGACAAGCTGATAACAAAAGAAAAAAAAATCCACTAAATATCTTTTAAAAATTTTTTTATTTTATTATGTTAATCACCATACATTACATCATTAGTTTTTGATGGAGTGTTCCATGATTCATTGTTTGCGTATAACACCCAGTGTTCCATTCAGTACGTGTCCTCCTTAATACCCATCACCAGGCTAACCCATCCCCCTACCCCCCTCCCCTCTAGAACCCTCAGTTTGACGAACCATGAGAGACTATGGACTCAGAAACACTAAATATCTTTAAAAGAAAGAGATTATATTGTATAGCTGTGTGATAGTATAACAATAAACAAAAAAAGAGATCCTGTAAATTGAAAAATATGATTGCTGAAATAAAAATTCAGTATCAGAGCTGGAAGATAAAATATGGCATAAGAGTAGAAAATTGTAAGTCCCAATAAAGTTCAACCTTAGTTGAAAGTTGTACTTGAAACCATAAGCTACATGTTAACATTGTGTTTAAAAAAAAAACCTTGAGGGGAAAGTTACTTACTGACAATAGTGCTAATATTAGTCATTACTCTTTGTTGTAAAAGAGGGAATTACATGTAACTCCCACCGGTGAGCATCCACTACTAAAGAGGCAACTAACAATAAAGAAGACTGAACAAATTGCCCCACTGACTTCATCCTTCTTCCTCAGCCATTAGCTACCCAATGTTGGCACAACAAGCCCATGAATGCAGTGTCCACTGTGGAAAGGATGAAAACTGACCCTGGGTTCAACAGCATGAATTTCCTCTGATCAAGGCTCATTTAGCTCCTATTGCTGC